GCGGCGGCCCGGGCCCGCCCCAGCCAGAACGGGGGTGGGCGGGAGCCCCGGAAGAACCACATCTACGGCGAGCGGAAGCTGGGGGCTGGCGAGGGGCTGCCCCAGGTGTGTCCAGCGCAGCTGCCCCAGCAGCCCTCCCTGCACTACGCCAAGCCCTCGCCCTTCTTCATGGACCCAATCTACAGGTATTAACATGCCCCGCCCTCACCTGCTCTCAGAAGGGACCCAAACCGGGCGGGGCAACGTGCAGGAGTCTCGCGAGAGCTCCTCGTGGTTCTTCCCTCCTCCGATGGCTTCAGGAGGTACCTCAGTTACCGCGTGGTCTGCACCCTTTTGCAGGGGAATGCCTGGCTTGTCTGTTCCCGGGGTGGGCACCAGGCCAGGGTCCTATTTGGGCAGGGTCTCCCATATACATGTGGCTCCCTTGTACTGACAACATCCCACTGCCCAGCTTTGAGCCCCTCGTCTCCCTCAGATGCCAGCCCAGGCCCACCTTTCTGGACCAGCTCTTCACCACCCCCGAAAGTCAGGCAGTCCTCCTCTTTCTCTGAATACTGCTCTCTCAGCCCCGGAGCCACACCAGGGACTTCCTGGTCGAGAGGAAAGGGAGAGGGAGCCACTGGTCCCCGGAGGGGAGGAGGAAGAAGAGGATGGAGGAAGTTTGGGAAGATCTCGGAGACATGTGTCTCATCTCTCTGAAATCCCTCCGAGGAGGAATGACCGTACTCCCACTCACCAATTTCCAGGCAGGCTTCCAGCCTCCTCAAGATGTGGTGGGCTAGAGAACAGGGCCAGGTTAGGTGGGAGGGGTCCTAGCCACACCCACGGTGCCTGCCTCCTCATGTATGGAAGATGCCAGACAGACGACCCTGAGCAGACAGCTGTGTTCTCGGTGGACCCAGACCTCTGTAGGAGGGGGCACGTGGGCACTCGCAGGTGCAAGAGTGCACAGGCGTGCAGGGAGCACACAGCTTCAGGGCCCATGTGCCCGCTGCTCCTCTTGAGTCCACCTCCAGGCCATGACTCCAAGAGAGGCACAAAGCTGAGGCGGGCACGTCTGCCAGATTTTAGATATCTGGAAGGTAAAGATGAGAGAAGATATCAGAGCAAAGCAGGCCAGAGAGCTGCCAGCCAGGGAGCTGGGCCAGTTTTCACTTCTCGGCCATGCGGACACCCTCTGTGCCCGCCAGCACGTCCTCCTGTCCCCGAGCCCTCTGCACACAACACCTGCAGCCCTAGACCGCCTGGCCTGTCTCTGCAGCCAGCTCCTATTTTCTGGGCTCCTGACATCATTGCCACAGGAAACACACAAAAATGGTCCATTTTAGAGTTTAAAGTTAGTTTAAAATTAGTCCACTGAAGGTTGTTTGAGAAAGTGAACCGGCTTGGCTTGGCAGAGAGGAGAGACTTATCTGTAGAAAGCTCTGCTACGTTATCTGTAGAAGGCTCTGCTACGTCGGCTTTCTGAGCTGAGCATGGCCATTGAAAGGCTGAAGAAGCACCTGTCAGTTAAAATAAGAGTCCCTGAGATCCCCTGGGCCAGGATACAGCTGGGCTGAGAGGGATAAGGGGCCTGGCTATGCCCAATGGACTATGCATGGGATCCAAGCAGGATGTTCAGACAGAGCCTTCTAATCATGTCCCCAGAATCAAAGCCAATGGCCACCCAAGAGGCTCTGTTTACTCCTTACCCCCTCTAGCCTCTGGCTCCTCCAGGCCCATCCTTTCCCAGCCTCTCGCTCTGCCCTTCAACTTCCTGACATCCCACCTTAACCTCTTCTCTGCCAGGTCTCCCTTCCCTCCCTCCTTCTGGCTTGGTTTAGGGTCTTGGGTCTTTTCCTGGAAGCTGCAAGGGGCCTGTGGTCAGGCTGGGAGGTTGAAAACATGGTGAGCAGCCACAGGGCCCCAAAGCCTCCCAGCCCCCAGCTCCTAGCGGAGCTCCATTGAGGCCAGGCAGCCCCATGCTCTAGTCCTAGGGTTTTAGGGTCCAGCGGCTGCCTGGACTCTTGCCCTTGCAAAGCAGGCTGTCTCAAGAGAGGTGTTCCTGCTTAGGGAATACCAGCAATGTGTCTGACTGTGTGTGAGTGTGGGTCACTCCAAACTGCACCCTCACAAGTCCAGTCAAGATAAACAAACACGTGTTTGAACACGTCCTTCCAAATGAAGACACGGGAGACTATGGCAGCCTGTGAACACTGTGGGCTTTGAGGGGAAAGTCCCCCCAGCATCATGGCCCCTTCTGCTTCTGGGTCCCCAGGGTAATCCCAGCCAAATTCTCAATCACCCCCCCAGGCTGTTCCCCCTTGGATGAGCCTGAACATGTGACCCATAGCTCTTCATTCCCCAACTAGACAAACCCTAAACACCACCAGCCTGGTGTCCACTGTGTCCCTCAAGAATGGAAGCATCTTGGCAAAGCACCTGTCCACTGAAGGTCAGCTGGCATGTTGGCCTTGGACACTCAGGGAGCCCAGCTGGTGGGGATGCCACATGATCTAAGATCAGAAGAAAGCAGAATGAACCTCATGGGCCCACATCCAAGTTTGCTGGAACAGGATGCCTGACATCCCCTACAGAGGGCACTGAACACCTGAGAGCATGCAACTCCCTACCCCACTGCCCTCAGCTGGAAAATTACAGGGAGTCTGTGGCTTCTCACCTGAGTCCTTATCACATCAAGCAGCGGTCCTCCCCTTCCACCTGGGTCCTCTTTCTCTCCACGGAAGCCCCCAGCCCTACACGTCTGGTTGAAGGGCTCCAGCTAAGTCCTGCAAAGTGAGAGGCCCTCCAGGCAAACTCCCTACACAGCCAGTATTTGCACACACACACACACCCACAGCTGAATGTTTTGTGTTGTTTATTTTAACCCTCTGGGGAGGGGTCTTCCTAACACCCAGGCAGCCTCTCATCACCCTCTTCCTCCTGGGCCAGGGTTGGTGTCTCCCAAGGGTCTCCTGCAGCCTCAAGTCTGGGCGGGAAGCTCCTGCCCAGGGTTTGGACACACCCCTGGTGTAGACAATGTGAGTGACTTGTGCCTTCCTTCAGTTTCCTCACCTGTCCTGCTCTGGTAATTCCTCCTCCCCTGGCAGCCACCTCCTAAGGGTCTTTCCTTGTCCCCTAGAGGGCAGAGAAGCAAAGATCCTGCTGCATAATGATAGGACAGGACCCCTGTCCTCAGGGGCCTGCGCCCCTGTCCTCAGGGGCCTGTGCCTCCGCCAGGGGTGGCAGGCTTTACCACCATGCCACGATGTCAGGAAAGGGGCTCACAAGTCTCAGCCGTAGCCAGGACTTGGTTGGCAGGGAGGAACCTGTTGGGAATCGTAGGTTAGAGGTGAGATCAGCCGATGCCTCCCGACCACCACCTCTGCTTACCGTGGGATCTACTTTGTGACTAACAGAATTGTCTCCAGTACTTGGGGAAGAGTCAAGTATTGTAACCTCCAG